AGCAAACAAAGGCAAAGGCACAGCTAAGAATAAGTGCCAAGGCTAAATTTGAACTCCATGTACAGTGTTCTATCCACTGAACCACCTTGTTGCCAGTAGTATGGTATTACAGAAATATCACTGGACTTGTAGGCAGCAGAAGATTTGGGTTGAAATCCTGGTTCAGCTACTAAATATTTGTCTGACCTTGGACATGCTGCTTAGCCTCTCTAGTGACTAAGTTTCCGCCTCTATAACATGGGTGTGTGTGTGTGTGTGTGTAGCTGGACATAGGTTCTAAATTCTATGATTATTTTCTTCTAATTCATCCTACACACCCTTCCAGATGTCTTCATAAATAAAACTCTTGTCACGTTATGCCCCTTCTCAAAAACATTCAAGGGCTCCTCGTCGCTCACAGAATAAAATCCCACACTCCTTAATCTAGTGTTCAAGGCTCTCTATAACTTGGCTTCAGTTTACCTTTTTCATTGTATTTTCCACTTCTTTCACATGCCCTTGTACTCACCCATAGGCAGCACCACATAAACTCTGGGAAATGGTTTTGTCGGCATTGGGGAGTTTCATTCTTCCCTTTGAAGCAGGGGCCAGCTGGACAAATTTTGTATGCCATGAACTCCCAGGTTACTGAACTCATTTTCCCGCCATGGTGACTCATGGCTGACAATAGTGAATCACACAGAATAGATTTTGCAGAAAATTTATCACTGGAGACAAACCAAGAATGCCTTTCCCCTCCATGGAACCCCCATCCTAAATCAGGCCATTATTCTCATAGACGGCCTTTGACCAGGACTGTTTCCTCACATATCTGGCTCCATCTTTCAGCCGAGAGTCCTCAGTACCAACATTGGGGAAGCAGAGAACACACCATGTTCCATACAGTCTGACCCTCTGAGACCCAGACTTCATCACTCTAATAACTCCACAATCACAGGCCAGAAAGTCCAACAGAACATGCCCAGTGGACACCCTGGACAGCTAGAACTGAGGATGGAAGGGATGGAAGGTTATCCTACCTTTTGGATTAGTGGAGGTAAGGGGAGTGTGGAGAACATGAATTTATTTAATCCTATCCAAATCTCTCATTTTAAAGAGGATTTTCAAATGCCCATATAGGAGTAATGGTACAGACTTCTTTGAATCAGAAGACCTGGATGTGAATCTCATTTCTATTGTTTGTTAGTTATGACTTTGAAAGCCATGAAAAACATAGTGAATAGTATAATAGTAGAGTGAGCTAAAGCTGGAGTGGTGAGGATGTAGGTTAAATCCCACACCTGACACCATAATAAAGTCATTTAACCTCAAACACTCAATTTTCCCATTTGAAAAACGGGGAACACCCACTAATATGGATAAAATGCAGCAGAGGTGTCAAGCTTATGGCTAACTGGCCCAAGCTGGCTGAATGCAGCCCAAATAAGAATAAAATGTCATTGGGAAATATTTAGGCAAAATGAATAAAAATACAATACAAAATAGATAATGTTAATCTGTGGTTTTTTAAGTAAATATGTGGCCCGTCCCTTTCTATTTGAGTCTGACATGACTGAGATACAGGATCCTCATGGATCATGGGATCCACACAATTTAGACATGGATCATTGGTTTCTTCTACAAAATGAGAGCCCTGCACCACACAGTAATAACTCACATTTCTATTGGGCTTTAAGGTTTACAAAGTCCTCTCCCTATAATGACCCAGTGAAGTAGGAGGTGCATTAATCTTACTTTACAGACTATCTCTAAGGTCCTTCTCACTTTCTAGGAGCCAATCTGATGATTTCATGATGAAGATTAAACATGGAACCACACCAATCAGTCAGCAAACATTTAACATCACCTCAATGCCTGGAAGGTACTGGGGATCCAAATAAAAAAGCGAGACAGTCCCTGCCCTCAAAGAACTTACCCTTTACTAGACATAGGACCACATGGTTCAAACATGGTGCCATGTAGATTAACAATAAGGCTAGTTCCCTGGTAATAGCAAGGGCGTGTTCAGGTGGGACACCTTCTGCCCCCATTCCCCACCCCTGCTATTTTTGTGACTCCCTGCAATTTTAAGTAGCAGCAGGCCTCACCCAAGAGACCCAGCAGTAATATCTGGCACTAAGGAAAGTGGGTTTGGGGGCTACAAAGAGTACCACTAGCAAGGTGGCTTTTCCCAATAGCAAGGCCATGGGCCAAAAACGGAGCACAGCTGCTCCTTCCCTCCCATTCCTTCCAGTTTTCCTCCAACCAGAGGAGCTGAAGGTCTGCAGGCTACTTTTCCTCTTTTAGAGAATAGAACACCCAGACATCATAGACTTCTATGGAACAGCAGAATCTAGCTGGGGACTACTTACCCTGAGCGTCAGGAGTCAGAAAGGAAAAGGCAACACCATTCCCTCCCAGAATAATACAAAGCAGCCAGGATCAGTTGAAATTATTTTACTGATTTCCAAGGACAGAAACAAGTTAACCACAAAGGCAATTCCCTCTCCCCCCACCCACCCATCTATGAAAGACAAGATGGCACTAGCATTGCATTTTAGCCTTATATAAATATCTTATAAAAATAACAAAAACTCATCAAGTACCACGGATCTGACAAATCTAGAAAACAAGTTAACAAGTCTCAAAGTGCATTGTAAGTGGCCAAAGGGGGACGTGAGGGAGTGAAGGAGCAGGGGAGAGGGCAGGTACTGATTGGTACCCAAGGCAACCTCCTGCATGATGGTGAGCAGGAGTCCTTGAAGTCAGGTGCACCTCTGGCCAGCTATCCACAAAGGATCCTATTATCACAAGCAGAAAGAACTTGAAAGTACATGAAAGTAGCCACATTATTAATGTTATTAAGAATATTACCTTACATTTAAATAGTGCTTTCTTGCTTTTCAAAGTGCTTTTTTATATTATTACTATTTCATTTGCTTCTTGAGACACCCCTGCAAGGTAAGCAGGGCAGGTATTATTATCCTCATTTGACAGACGAGGAAACTGAGGCTCAAAGAGAATTAAGTGAGTCACCCAAGGTTATATGGTGAGTTAGTGGTAGAGATTTCCAAATTTCTGACTGTTACAGGCAGCGACACTAGAATCTCATTTAAGGACTAGTGCAACCCTCTCTTTTTACAGAAAAAGGAAACTGAGGTCAAGAGAGTGGAATTGACTTTTCCGAGATCACACAGTCACTGGAGCACCCAAGCTAGGGCTAGAGCTCAAATCTCTGGACTCCCAGGCCAAAGACCTTTCCATTTCCCTGTGTCCACGCCCCTGGATGGGCAGCTTCTCAAATCAATGCAGGCACTCTCCTTCGTTTAAATGATGACCATTCACTGAGCAAAATCGTGCTTACCAGCTGCCAAAATCAAGGCCTTAAGGAAGGGCCTGGAGCATGAGAATTCCCCAGTGATTGGCCACCAGGGGATAGCTTTGAGTGTCCCCTCAGGACCAGTCTGACTTCGAAGGCCCTGTCTATGTGCAGGGAAGGTCATGGGATCCCAAATATAGAGCTGCAATGGATCTCAGAGACCATCTAGTTCAACTCTTCCTTTGACAATTGAGGAAACTGAGGCCCTAGGAAGTGACATGATTCACCCAGTTGCATCTTTTCTAGATGCTTCAGTGCAATGGCTTCTGCATCCCCCTCAGGTAACTGCCCGGAGGATGATGGATTAGGGGACCTCGGGCCCGTGTGACTCCTTTCTCTGGACCTCAGCTTCCTCATCTGTAAAATGACCATTAGCCTGGATAACCTCCAAGGTCCCTTCTAGCTCTGACATTCCACGTTCTAAGTTCTCTTCTATCCTGAACTTTCTGAAATTTTTTGATGAAGGCCCAGGCACACAGCTCAGCAGGGCACATGGGAAAGGATACATTTGCCAAGAGGAGGAAACAACCTCCTCCATCACGCTTTTTCCCTTCTCGATAAATGACCAATAAATCTGACTCAGAGTAAGGAATCAGAGGTCCAGGCTTGCCTCAGCCTTGAGCTTCTATCTCACCTGGAGAACACCCAACAATAAGACCCTATCCAAGAACTACTTTTTCAGGTCTTTGGAGAGAAGACTTTTAGCCATGATATAAACTCCAATTCTATGAACACGATGCACATTCTTTTCCCAAAGAACTTTCCCCTTACCTTGGATAGGTTAGCTCATCCACAATATTGGAAGAGAAATGCCTTTACATACAAACTGGATTCTCTCTGTCTTTCTCTCTCTCTGTCTCTCCCTTTCTCTGTCTTTGTCTCTCTATCTCTGTCTCTGTCTCTTTCGCTCACTGTCTCTGTCTCTCTCTGTCTGTCTCTGTCTCTCTGCCTCTGTCTTTCTCTGTCTGTCTCTGTCTGTCTCTCTCTGTCTCTCTATCTCTGTCTCTCTCTGTCTCTCTATCTCTGTCTCTCTTTCTCTCCCTCCCTCTCTCCCTCTCTTCCTTC